GCTTAATAAATAAATTTTTATCTGATATATTAATAAATATATTAATAAATAAATTATCTAAATAAATTATTTACAGCTAGATTAGTTGGTATAAGATTTTTTCGTTATATTCGCTGCTAAAAAATCCTACTGGAACAACGCTCACCGTTAAAATATGTATATATGTTTTTAATTGTGGAATAAACATAATTATATTTTAATTTTTGAATACCTGTGAGCTGTATTAAATAATTTTAAAAGATTTTATTTCTATCTATTTCAATTTTGTTAAATCTTGTTCCAATTTGTCTCAATATTCTCTCTGTGACGCGCATTTGCCTGATTAACAAACTATGTTTATTTTAAAAATTAGTGAATGTATCTTAAATTGAAGATTCTTACTTTATATTGCATAGTAAAATAATAATAACAAATGTATAAATAATTTTCTTTATATTGTTAAATTGAAATGAATCGCGTTTATATTTTATGCCCAGTATACATTTCCGTATTAATATTTTGTTTAAAAATAATAGGTTAAATTAGCCCATGCATCATTAATTACGTTTTAATTGTGAGCATAAAATTGGATAAATCAAGAAGTTGAAATTCTTAACATTTAAATATGTTGTTTTCCTGAGTTTGCATATACAATAAAACTAACTCTCTCATTCTAAATGACTGTATTATATATGCATAATAAATTAACCCCTGTTCGAAAACTTAATTATATACTTCACAAATATCCTTCCAAGTTAATTAAGCTTTTATTTCTCTATTTAGAGCAATAACTGCGTTTTAATTTAACAATGGATATTATACTTGTTAGAGATTTGAATATTATATTTAGCTGTATTATGCATTGCGTAATAATATCACGTTTGCAGTTAAACAGTTACGTTGAATAAGGAAATAGTTAATGAATAATTAAAGATAGTGATTATCTGCGGAAGAATAATGCAATAGTAGTGCTATACTTGGAGCAATTTCAATTAAGCATCTGACGTGTCCTGCAACGATTGTCCAATTACAATTAATCTTTAGTTCTGTGGTCCATAAAATATTACTGTTGACTGGAAATTCAGATAGATAGCAATAAATAATGAAATTTATGAGCTTTAAACTACAATACGTTGTCGTTTAGAAGTCATTATATAGCTGTCGCTTTTGCAATGCATGTTAACATCCTCCAAACTAAAACCATATTTAGGATCCTGTTTAGGCTATAAGCATTTCCAAAAATATTTTTCTTTTAAAAAAGTGATATTTCATACTTCTGTGAATTTTCAAATTTAAAATTGTTTATTTTGTTTAGACTTAACTAACAATATAGTATTAAATATAAATATATTAAGACAAGTAAAAAAAATTACAATTAGCGGGATTGAGATATTTGTAATAGGTTCTGATATAAAATTTCGTAAAAACATGAAAAATACGAAGGAGAGTACCATCACATTTACAAGAATAAATTGAGGCAATGACAGGTAATTAACGGGACAAAGTTTTCGCTAGAATTTTAATTAGGATAAGAACATATGGGATCTGCTAATTGAAACACATCTTATATAAAACTTTTTTCAAAAATGAAGCATTCTATGCCAGATTTTTTTTTCCTAATTTAAAAAAAAAAAAACGATGTTGGGAGAGAGTAGAAAAAAATAAAGATTTTAGATTGCTCATTCTTTTATTTTTATGACCGTAATTTCTATCCTGTGTGAGATAGGGAAAAATATACTAGCAGTAGCAAATCTAGTATTTTCTTTATGATGAGAAACTACCAACACACGAAGGCCAAAAAAAAATAGTAATATTACAGTACTGTATAGTAATGACATTTCCTGTAAACCAGTGAAAAACATAATTTTGCTAACAAAAATAAAATATATGCCAGTTAAGCAATTAAATTTATAAATTGATATGATTTTCAGTTCATATGGCAACGGCTTACCGGAAATTCTGGTTTCCAATATTATACAGGGTTATTCATAATTCCCTCCGCCTGTAAGCGCCATTTTTCTTTTCTACAACTTACTTCAGTGGTACATGTTATTGACATCTACCGGCAACTGCTTAAATTAAAACTTGAATACTTTCGGAATAATTTCATATGTTCTTTTTTGCCATATTCGTCTTCGTTTTTTTACTATAACACTTCAAAACCCCGGAGGGAATTATGAATAACCCTGTATATAAGATATGTTTCTTAAACACATTAAGAAAAATACAAAACTAAAAATTAAATGAAATGAAACTAGCAATTCTGTTTCTAATGTATTATGATTAAATTACCAAGTTTTATAAGTAAATAAAAGGAAAAGAACTAATAAATTTCTCGACTATCTATTATTAGCAACGAATCTTCAAAAAAAATATATTTGATCTTTCTTTTTGATAAAAACAGACATAAAACATCCAATTTTAAATGCAATAATGCATTTTTAAATAAAAATAAATTTATTTTATGTAATTGGGTTAATGCATATTTTAAAAGTCAAGGTGCACATAGTACACAGTGGAAAATGGTCGGAAGCAAATAACAGTCGAATATGGAAGACCCAATATATTGTATATTGAAACAGCTTCCTCTCATTTAAGAACAAAATTCAAGTTCTCTAAATTGATGCGGAGGGCGAAGTAAGTAAGTAAGTATGTTAGAGACATATACATAGGCTGCTGGAAGGGTTCAATTCTAGAACGTCTGAGTTCATAGTAGGATACTCTTACCATCATAGTTTTGGAACACAGACCAGGCAGAGTTTGGAAGCCTTACATATTTAATAACGTTATAACACATGCCTTTCCATTTGCTTAAGAGTTTTTAAAAATTAGCGAAAAAATCAAAATGTAAACTTAAAATTACTGATCGTCTGACTAAGCTATAGATAAACATATTTTTCGAATTGCAACCCTTTGCCCCATAGGAAATTACTATGTCATTGCTTTGATCACTATAAAACGCTTCCTAACTCTCCCTGAACTACTATAGGAATTAGAGAATTTTACAACGAAATCGGAGGTCCTTGTTTCGAGGCATCTAACGAATGCTTCTCTTACGTTTCTTCACTTTTTTTTTTCTCTCCACATCACTTTTGAAATTACGCATTTAGCTCAAAAAGGAGCATATTCTGTTTCAATCTTGAATGTATGGATTTTTTAAACTCGACCATCATTTTTTTCGGAGCTATGCTAACATGTTTTAAGAAGCCCTTTTTACAGTGCAAGCATATACTTTAGCATATATTTTTTATTGATCAATATCATTAAGGCTTGATTGCGCGCTATTTTCTGTTGTTTAAACAGAATTTAAAATAATTAAGAAAGGTGGTAACTTTTCTCAAAAGTTTAAATCTCAAAAAATGTAAATGACTTGACTTAAAAGCACTTTCGGACAACTTTGTTACTCTTCACTATAGGACAAAAGATATTAAAAGCTTTCAATATGTTAATGCTCGCCATTTCATATTTTTAGGACAGTATTGTAATAACTGAGTAAAGTTTTATTGTTTAAGAACTCTTGTAATTATCTCACTGGGTTGAAGTGAATTTAAATGGACCTGTAAAGGATTTAATAAAATAAAGTGCTCCTTATTAAAGGGAAAAATATTTAAGTGCTAAATGTATAAAAATGTATATATATGCATATATATATATATATATATTTATATATATATGTTCCTGTTTCGAATNGTTTCATATATATATATATATATATATATATGTATATAAAATATATATAAAAATAAATATAATATATAAAATAAATGGATATATAAAATAAATGGAAACATTTAATTTATTGATTCAGGATTTTTATTACTGCACACTTTTTTTAAATTTTTTTCGGCATTTAATTATTGCATTTTTTCACGTCTCGAATAAAAAATAATTACCAGTATCAAAATTCATTTTTTCTTAAATTAAATTTTATATTTCTTTTTATTTCACATGAGAAATAGTAGTTACAATTTATGAGATTGTTTTATTAATAACAATGTTTTCAAAGCTAAAAATAAAAATAGAAAATGGAAGAAGGTTTCACTAATTAAGCTAAATGTCAAACCTATTTATAAAATATATTTTAATTCCGTTTTTAAAATGGAAAGCTATTTTTTTCTGTATGAAAAATAATGGTCCACTAATTGCTAATTTTTCTGAATTACTTAAAAAATACAGAATCGTGTACAGTTTTAAACATATATGAATTACATGGAATTTCTACACCATGTCATTTCCGAGCATATAGGAAGTTGTTAAATATTTAATTCAAATACTACTTAAAAAATTATCCTATTAAAGTATCATTTCATAAAATATTTTGTTCTTTAATTATTTTTCGACACCGTTAGCAAAACAAATTACTCTTAAATTGTGAGTACTTTTTTTTGCTTAAATTGCTTCATTTAATATATATTTATTTATTTTCGTTTTTATGTAGTAAATGTGAAAAAAAAGTTGTGGATAATTTAATGAAGTGTATATCAGGCTAGCAAGCTTTAATTTTACCACAAACAATTTACTATCATAACGACATTTTTATTTGCTTAATACTTAATGGTTTAAAGATTCCGATTACAAGAGCATTTCAGTGTACTCAACTTGTCGATTTATGGATAACAGAATGATTTTAGAGAAACGTAACTTTTATTGATACACTATTTCCTATACTGTGTTATTTTGTCAAATGCTAGCAATTTATTATTCTTTTCACGTCTCAAACCCATAAACGTATCCGTCAAATGCATCGAAGCGAACATCCAAGAAAAATCCTATAACGTCAATAAACGTTCACTTAGAATGACGTCTAAACGAAACTAATTTCGCGATCAAACTCATTTCCAATCCATTACTCATTGACTTTTACACCAAAAGTTTATGAAAGAAAAAAAAAGTGCTTCAGTAGCTACAAACGGTTCTCAACTTTTCCCCATTCAAACTTAGCGTAAACTATGAGGCCCGCTCCAAACTGTAATATTGTGTTAGGGACACAGCGCCCCCTTTTCGTTCTTAGCGAAAGAGCGGTAGAAATTCCATACCAAATGTTTACTGATGCTTCAATCATCTGATAGCAAAGTCGATAAGAAGTGCTTCTCCTGCGTGCTTCTGAGTTCGAGTGGAAAACGAGAAATGTGTCATTTGCTTCATATAGTTCGTTTCCTACTGATCGCACTTAACGATTGAAAAAAAAGAGGTCTAAACAAATATCTTAAAAATTTAAAACTATTTATGATATGCTTTTGAAAAATCATTTAAGTTGTACACATTTAATAAATTGTTAATTCACAGTGCAAAAATGATAGCAGATAAAGTTCGATTGCAAAATTGAAAAAAAAGAAGAATGGATTGAAATTTATTTGTTGAAATTAATGCATCGAATATGAGGATATATCGCAAATATTTGCGTGGATTATTTCTTGCTGCATTTTTTACCACTGGTAAGTAGTGTGTGTATTTCTTTTCATATGTAATTAAAATACATCAGTATAATTAGTTCTCTGCATTAAAGGTTTGTCACAAGGATTTATTTATCTAAAAAGAGAAAATTATAATTAAGAAAAAGTGTAAAAGTTGTGACAAAAAAAACTAGAACATTGCCCTAAAAAGAACTACTTAACAGCTGTTGCCAAAACTGTAACGGTAATTTGTTTTTAAAAATTATATTAAAAACAATTTAATATTGCATAGTAAAAAATATTCTTAAGATTTATTGAAAAGAGTAAGATGTCATTAAACTGTGTACATTATGGTAGATGTCATTTTTTTAAATAATTGATAGAGTAATGCGGTATATAAATTAAAAATGGGAAGTAACTGAAAAAAAATATTTTTCACTTTTCACTTGTAATATATTATTGATTTGAAAGCATGTTACAACTTTATCAATTTATGATATACTGTAATATTCACGGCTAAGAATTTAAATAAAATTATTTCTAAAATTTAATGGGCATTCAAGCGAAAAAAAATATTTTGTGCGAAATATTTTTTTTTTAATTTGTAAGACATTACAACTTAAAAAGAGATTTAAAATTAAAATTAATTTATATTAAACAATTAAAACAATGCAGACAAATTGGAAAAGTAAAAGATTAATTTGCATGAAATGTCTTAAATTGCAGAAATAAGCAACAACAACATTAAAATAATTTTCCCTATGCGCAATATATTTTTTATTTGTTTCGTCATTTTTTTACATATAGCTCATGAAATATGAATTTAATTCATTTCGTTGTCTTAATTAATTATTTGAAAATTTATTTAATCTGATTAGAATTGTTTCGCAAATGTTCTTTAAATAATTATAAAATACGTGAATCAGCTATTTTTTTTATTGTTATAGTTATGACAGTTGTTCCTTTCAGTTTTCTTATTTTCATAAAATGTATATTTATTACTTGCGTGATATTTGAAAATGCGAAAAAGTACTTACGTAATTTTAAGTATTTTAATTGGATGTAATCCTTTAGTAATCCTCAGTTGTAATAATATTATAAGCTTTGTAAAATCTTGCCTTAGTATGTATTTTCAGAATCTTTATTCAGAAAGGAAAAATAAGTTTGCTCATCTGGGTCTAAGAAATTAGTAATTAAGAGGGGAAAAAAGAAGAAAAAGAAAACTTTTTCGAGATATAACGTATGTTACAAATGAAAAAGTAGGTTTCACAATACACCAAAACTCCTTTAAGCTCAAAAAAGAAAAGGGGAGCTATTGAAAAAACCAACAGTCATTAAAGTTTTTAATAACCAAAGATAAAAAACATTTTTACATCGTTTGCACCTGTTTCCATCATTCTAAAATATCTAGCTATGAAAATATTTCTCTTTCTTCCGCTTTTAAGCATTAATTTAAACTATCTAATTATTATTGTTTATCTTTTATATCTTAAACTATATACTAAGGTTCGCATTTGCGTAACATACTATTTTCCCTATGGGTATGCATTAAGATAATACTTAGTCAATAACATATTTTTACAAAGAATATTTTAATAGTTTTTTAAATATTAATTCGAGAGCTGTAGATAAAGTAGAAATTAGGACGTCCAATTTTAATTTATTATACTCGTGATTAATTCAAAAGAATTTATAAATTATTTTCCTAGTTTTGTTAGGCTCAAACCCTTTCGTAATATTTCTTAGCATTAATTATTATCCATTATTTGATATCTATTATTAGATATCTATTATCAGATATCTATTATTAGATATCTTTTATTAGATATCTATTATTAGATATCAATCATTAGATATCTATTATTAGATATCTATTATTAGATATCAATCATTAGATATCTTTTATTAGATATCTATTATTAAATATCTATTATGTTAATAGTCGAATAAAACTTCAGAAAAATTTACAACCAAGATTTTTTTTCCTATTTTTTAATAGAATAAATGTCCTCGGAAATGGTGTCTGAATTCTCCTGGACAATTAGTTGAAATAATTGTTTAAACTGACTGTGAATTGATGTCGCAACACGCTTCATATTTTTGAGGTAAATGGGTAAGGGAACGAATTTTAGACAGGCAAGTTAAGCATTGTTTTTGATGCATTCTTAAGCTGAATCGAATGAGACCAATCGCGAGAAGATGGGACTAATAGTTTAAAAAGTTACAAGGGTCTTATATGAAACAAAATATGCAAATTTCCACTTGCATCTATTTACTCATTTGCTATATCTATGTAAACAAGTGATACATTGTTTCATATGCATTTTCTCACGTTGAATCGAATGAAAATATTACAAATTAATGTAACGAATATCTCAAATAATATGAGCATTTTCATGGATAATAAATACTATTTTTGACATGAATTTACGTTACTATCTAGGGTGACTAACTAGGACTATCTAGGTTGATGCGGCGCGTTTTTGATATTTTTTAATACTGAATTTAATGAAATAAAAGTTCGAGTTGAGAATATAAATTTATTTTAAAGTTATAAGGGTTTCTTTCCTTCATTATGAGTCAACTTGAAAGAGGTATAACTTTTGCAAAGCTAAATTGTTCCGACTGAATGTTGGCTAAATGGTGTTGATATGTTGGCTCTTTTAATTCTTGTTTGGCCTCGTTAAATTAAATAAGAAAAATAAAAATAGAAAATAATACATTGTCTATATAGCTATCTACGACAACAAAATAAGTACAAAATTGCACTTTTTGTACATAAAAGACTTCTAAGTTCTAATCTAGTAGTCTAAACATCTAGGAATCTGTCTAATTCAATTCTACGTAAAATGTTGGAAACAATACTTTGCACATTTATATTAACCGGAGATAATAGTGCAAAATGTATACATATATGTAGTACTCAAAATTAAAAAAACGGACCATCCTGAATAACTTTTGTACTAATTATCGGATCTTCACGTTCTGGGACCTAATCTTATTTATTTATTAATTATAATATTATATTTAACTGTCTTACCTTACACTGGGTAAATTTAGTTATTTTTAATAAAACGACTTTAAACTCAAATTTATTCACAATATTTGCAATTTGGAAACTTATTCGCGAATAATAAGGTGAATGTCAAACTAAGTTTGTATAAAAATACTAGAAATTGCATGGAGCATTTTATGAATTGTGATTGAAGGGAGAAAGATAGCTATTAATAATATTTTTTCATGATTTTAAAATGAGATACAAAATGAAGTACAACGCATAGAAACATACCTACATATATATATATATATATTGTCTCTACATGCGCACATGCAAAGTTACATGTTTAAATGCATATTATATGCATAATTACATACATACAGTGTATGTATAAATAGCGTTTGTACATACATACGTACATTGTATTAAATCTGAACATTCATATTTACATCTTATATGCATACTTACCTACATACACATACATGCATACGTACAAATATTGAATAAGTTTAAAATATATCTGTGCTTGAGCGATTGTATGTATGCTAAATATACATATGTATGTCTACATACATACTAACTTACATGCATTGCTCGGACATTTATAAATTGTATTTACATACGTGCATTCATTCTACATACAGACAAATATGCTAACACATACAACATACATACCAACTGAATAAGCANATATATATATATATATATGATTTCTATTATTTTTTTACAAACTTAGTTTGACATTAATTACTTCAATTTTTTTGCTTATATAATTGCTCTGTTAGTAATTTTGGACTGTGAGAAACCGTGTTTACTTTCAAATTTTCTACAACATTATTAAGATTTAGAGTAAAACCGCGTTACCGTGTAAATTTTTCCAATGCAAGTTTGTTTACACAACAACATGACTGAACACGAATTGAAGCGCTGAGCACTTTATAAGCTATTTAAAGTTGCTCATCTTCATGGTTCTAGGTGATAAAAATATTTCTAAGCAATAAACACATCTTTTTGTGGGAGTTTCGTTGGCATGCATTGATACTGACTCAGAAATATTTTAACCATTTTGCAAAACCAAGAAAAAAATGGATTTTTTAAAAATTAATTTTTGATTCATTGCTTTACATTTATCAATAATATTTTTTCATTCAAATCTAACATTTTATATTTTATAGGGTTTTTAATTTTGAGCCCTAAAAGTAAGAGAGCGTATCTATTTATTTTATTAAAACTACAAGTTTTAAGAAAGAGTTTTTCCTAGAAGTTTTTAATTTATTTTTCTAGCGACCTATACATGGAGAAAAACATTCTGGTAATTTACTTTATTGGATTGTAATGGTGTTTCCGATATGGAGCAAAAAGATTCTAGTTCATAAATCCCAAATGTATGGCATTTAAATCATATATTTGGTATTTTTCCGGATCATATAGTAGCAGTTTACGGGAAATTCCGGTTTTCAAAATTATAGTTCTTACTACCCGACATTTTGTAAAAATACAAAACTGAAAACATAAACTGCCTTTAAGCTATTCTGCGAAGTTTCATAATAAAATTACAAAGTTTTTCCACATTAACAATATTTATCAATAACATATACATATACTTCATTGTTAATTTTACCAAACTCATTACCAAAAATTGCCGAGTGGTTTGACATTTTAATAGAGCAAGAAACATTTTCAAACTTCCCCATATCCTGGTAGTTTTAACCTTACTTTTTTTCTGTTTAAAGAAAATAAACAGTAAACAAAATACTATGGAAAAATTTCCACCTGATAGCAATTGAGTAATATTATAAAACATTTAAAAGAAAATTAAGTTTAGATATGAATTAAGCAGTACATCTGATAACTTTCAAAAAAGATAAATATTTTAGGCAATAGCTACAGAATTGTTAAAATTGCTGTGACTAAGTTTGTTTTGTGGCTGATAATAACCTCAAAATGACCCTGAAAGATTTGCTTCGGCATATTCTCTACGAAAACATTGTAGAGCAATGAAACATTTATGAGTTTTGTTTCATTTTGGTACTTTTTTTATGAA